ACCTCAAGATACCCGGCTAATTCATCACGTGGAATGAACGTTGCCCTCAAGTTCCCAGCATCAATTAGTCGTGAAATCGAAGCTCGGATGAGGTTGACCATTCGGATAAGACAAGTGGATGCTGCCGAAGATGAGATGAAGGAGGTGAAGAGGGCAGTACCCTCAAGGAGAGGAAAGAGGAAGCGAGGGGAAGATGATGGTAAGAACAGTTGCCTGTTGATGATTGCAATAGAGAAAATGGTAATGCGAGTGATGCACAGATCACTGCAAAAAATGCTGAACACGTTTTGCAGAATTAGGAATTGTCCACAGGCAGACTGCATTGGTGTGGCTCGTAGCTTGAGATGATACGAATAGGCCGAGGAAAGGCATTTTGTATAGCGAGATCCTGACTCAGGACTCCTGACCATGTCGGATCTGTTATACCCATTGCGTTTTCGTATCAATGGTTACACCAGAGTCACCAGGGATGATGCTTGACACCTGTTCCCGAGATACACATATGAATACGCGATGCTATCCCCCTCGTCCTCCACAATTCTCGAGATGCTGTGTTATCAGGTGTATTAACACATCCTAAGACGGAAGTACCTCTAGTCGTGCCCTCGAACGTTGGTCAGCGAGCACAGGCCATAGACATGTGCTTGAAGGAGGCTCAGAGGACTATCGTTTCCATGTAAGTCGTAATGCTTGTGATACGATGGTTATGTGCGTCGTTATAATAGGGTGGCCTTCGAGGCTATGATGAGTGATAATCCTCTTCGTGCATCTGGCTGGGCATGGGGCTCTGGACAACACCAAAGGAGACCACATTATTCCAAGCCTGATATCAATGGTATAATAAAAGAACAAGTAGGCAATATGTTGTGGATTCGAAGTTGACGTAGTGGGGTTTTATATGAACGTTTTCAGTTAAGTTTTACCCTAGTGATATGAAAAATATATTTCACGACTACTGCATATCACCGCGAATATCGCGCTTTTTACAGAGTAAAACGGGTTGTGAAACTCCGGTGTGACACTCACTAACTCAAAACTTGTTCAATGGAGTTTCACCCGTTTTACTTGGAGTGGCGTAAAACTCGGTGAAAAACGCGATATTCGCTGTATGCAATAGTCGTTGAATATGTTTTTCACTAGTGTTTTTCATATCACGGGTGAAACTCCATTAATAAAATTCTCTAGCGTAACGCTTGAGCAGCATCGGCGAATGTGAAATTATAGACAGCAAATCACAACTTGTCGTCAACATCGCTACTGCTGTCAGTTACATGTAGTGTATCTGCCAAAGTCGATTCAAGTCACGATGGCCCTCGAGCCGTTGCATAAGGTGATGGACAATCCGATGTCCCCGTTGGAGGAGCTGGGTGCCGCTGAGATGAAGTAAGATCATACCATTGATACGGCAACTATCACTCCTTTATAAAGGGTGTATTTTCCTTTCGAGTTAGTATTCTACGCCAGCTTGAGCGTGAAACGGTTCTCGATAAGTGTGCGAGCTGGCATTCTTATGCGGTCGTCCTGGCCTCTATTGAGATCACCCGCAAATTCAAGTCGCGCACTTGAAATTTTAGGGAAAAATATTATCGACATTTCCATGTTAGAGATGAGAAGATTACGGTATGAAATGATATGGTCAACTACATGTCTTGATAGAGATATGGAATTTCTGATGAAATTTTGGGAAATTACCTTTAGGTTTGTACACTTCTACCTAACAATCGTTATGTGGACTCTCATGATATAGCGAGGAATCTCAAGAGCTCAGTTGAGGAAACTTAACATATATTCCCACGCTGAGATTTCGGGATGATTTTCTCACGTGTTAATTCCAAAGTTTACTACTAATTCTACTATCGATTGGTATATCGAATATATATTCATCATTGTTTTATACTCTACTACTACTACTATTACTACTACTACTACTACTACTACTACTACTACTACTACTACTATCACTCACCCTTCATTATATGCCATTATGTCAGGCGGCGTGTACTCGATCGCCTTGCTAGTTCCTACGACCCAGAGCTGTCCTCAATGCTGTCTTCATCATCTTCATCATCAGCGAAATGCGGCGCGTTACTTGATGTGTGGCTCGAATGGTTAACTCCACTAATACTAAGTTGACGACGTTTTTATTCGTTATTGTAAGTCTTGAGTGATTCAATTGTCATTGGAGGGAACACGAGTTTTATAACTATCGATATGGCGATGAGTCGAATGCTTCCTTTCACCCCGCTCGTACGGCAAGCTTATGCGAATATGATGCGAACTCTCAAAGAGGTGAACTAATATACAGTGTTGAAATATATATTCCCTCGCAATTATATAACTGTACAGAAATCAATAAGAACTTCCCAAAACTTTTTCCCACAATTTTCATATTGTCACCGACACATGTAGTTGACCATGTGCATATTTTCCCACACTGTTGATATACGATAAGAAGAATTAAATATTGTAAAAATCGCTTATTAATAAAAGTGTGGGAAAATATGCACACGGTCAACTACATGTGTTGGTGATGACAATATAGGAATACTTATCATTGGTTCTTGTACACTTCTACCCAAATTCGTATATCAGCTGAGGTGAGCGAACATATATTCCTTCCACACTACTTATTAATGTGTGGTTGTTCATGACTGAACGTTGTGGCTTTAGGTTATGCCTGGAGACCTACACACCCAACGTGAAATGAGAACAGCATTACGTGGGAGTCTTCGAGATAACTATCATCTCTTTCCTGAGGAAGCGGTCGTTGAGGTGAAGAAGACTTGAAAACTGCGGAATTTTAGGGAAAATAGCGGATTTTTTACGCATTGCTCATTTTAATTGAAGCATTTTATTCATATTGATGTTGATTGCTGATGCTAAGTCAATGAGCACTTCGTTTTTACTCTAATTGAGGAGTGGGGATACCGTATAACCTCTCAGACTCTCAAGCTGCTGATCATGTTCGTTCATTTATATCAACTATGTCGTGAGTGACGATGTTGCTGTTGTTGTAGTTGTATATGTTGCATATGTTGTTGTTGTATGTGCTGTTGTATATGTTGTTGTTGTTGCTGCTGCTCTTGTTGCAGTCTTCATTCTAGTTTGGATTCTCTTATTGCATTGTTAATCCACTACTTTTGAAATTATGGTGGTGGTCAGAAAGTAGAAAGAAATTTATCAGCTTGAGGGACACGTTTTGTGTCGTACAAATACTGTGTGAGATCTTGATCTTAGTGTAAAGCCGTATTACTATCCTCACTCTTCCCTTGAGATTGAGGATGGTAAAACAGCGAGTCTCTCCATAGATATAACCGGTTGAGAGTCACCATGTTGAATTGTCTTATGTTTTGTTAGGAACTTAATGCTACTATACACATGTTGCGATATAACATAGTCCAGAGTGAAATAGTAATATCACTGTTACTATAGTGCCATCCAGTCTGGCTCGGTGTTGAGGTGCCGTCAGAATCCCCAGGAGAGGCACGAATGAGAGTAACCTTAACACAAGATCATATCGTGCATGGGAAGCCGATCGAATTGAAGGCACCGTGGGAAGGCATGGAGTCGACCAAGGTCAGCGCTGATGAATTTGACCGCGCTGTGGGCAAGGCTTGCTCGAAGTGATGATGACGAACATGGAAATTGATATATGTTTCTGCGTGAATAATTTCATGTGTTTTGTGTTGAATAGTGTGGGAGAGTATGCGTATGGTCAATTACGGTTGTTGATGACAATGGAGTTTCACGACCCGTTTTTAACGTGAAGTGACCTAATACTCTGTGAAACACGCGGTATTCGTGGTGATATACAGTAGTGATGGAATATGTTTTCAGTAGTGTGTCTCCTATCACGGGTAAAATTCCAATAATAAATTATTGGAGACATTATTATTGGTTCTATGTTAGTGTTGAAATCGCCGACTCGGCTTGAGGAACGCAAACATCACGTAAAAAGACTTCCAGTGTTCGTATATGTATGCATGCTGATTGGTATGAGGGAGCTCATCATTGCTTGCAAATTACTTTCATTACGAAATAGCGTCTCTCTACTTGGAAGTATGAGTACCAAACCTCCGTTCACTTTGTATGGTTCTAACGCCAGCCCATACAGTTGTAAAATACGGGCATTTTTGAGGTAATCTTACCACCACTACTGCAGTCAATCAGTGTAGCAGATATAGACGTATACACTTCAAGTGGACGGCACTGAACCCGATGGAGATAAGTACACATGTGAATCCAAACATCAGGAAGCTCAGGGTTGGGTATACTACACATGAAATGTGTCATTTTACTTTTACAGACGAAATTGATTCCGATACTCGAGTGGCCCGACGGTAGAGTTCTCGACGACTCAACAGTTATCATAGACGTTTTCGAGGAAGAGTGAGCGACTGAACGTGAGCCGTCTGTCAAGCTGACCATATCAGGTTTCCTATTGGTCGCACTGTGTTGCCTCCGTCGGGTCCTGAGCGTTTCTTGGTGAAACTATTGGAAGATTTCTTCGATGAGTGGTTTATGAAAGCGACGTTTAATACAAGATGGTGGGTGAGTGCGTTTGATGGAGCAAGTGTGTGTGTGGGTGGGTGGAATGAATTCACCATCTTTGGCGAGCTCGTGTTGTCAATATATCATACGGGACGCTGATATGATCTGAACTGTTGAGTTTCATGCTGTGTTCATAATAAACCTTTTCTTTATTTTCTCCGTCTGTTAGGTCCTCTGAGGCCGATAGAGATTGGGCCAGTCGATGGATTATAGTCGATCAAGTGATGTCCTCTCCTAAACTATTCAATTTGCCCGACCGCTCGCAAAGAGAGGCTCTCACCAAATTCTTCAGAGACAGACAGGTGATTGCCCGCAAGTCTGTTGGCGGCTAAGAGCACCCGGATCGTTGTGCTCTGTCTAGGTTGGTAGACTGCGACTAGTCGGATGTGAAGATGACAAGCTGTGGCAGTATGTGATGCATCAAGTTGTCGGAGCCTTGGACGCACATCTGAGAGACGGTAAGTTAGACCGTATGGCTATTCATATGAGTAATGGATATGCTTGTAAGTGTCATCATTAAATACACCTCGGGCGGGGCTCGAACCCGCGGCCACGGGCTTAAAAGGCACGCGCTCTGCCGACTGAGCTACCGAGGCTGATGATTGTTATTTCTGAAACACGACTCCCTCCTTAGATAACGCCTTTCGCTTCCTCCTCGGACCACGCCCAACTGCTGCTGACTTTGCGCTGTATGGCCTTCTCAAGCAACTTTCACTCGACCACACGACTGGATACATCATCCGAGATCGATTCACCGCTGGTAACCGCGCTCTCGGTGTACTTCCGAACTCCTTCAACAGTATACGGCTGGATTATGGCGATGGACGATTCAAGTGGTCTTGAAGTGGATGCCGAATGGGAGTCACTGCGCACGAACACCCCGGCAGTTAGAAAAGTGAGGAATCATGACGATTGGTCTCATCTATATTGAACGATGCTGCACGAGCAGAGGGAAGGATAGAATCTCGTCCACGTTAATCACGAAAGACCTCGTCTTGCTGTCTTGGATTGGCGTAGATGAATAACCATCTTCCGTACCGTGTTAAGCATGCGAAGTCTCTTGAAGCATATGAACACATGTCAACCCAATACGCTCATCGCTGTTGTCAAGTCTCACTGAGCTACTCCACTTTTGCCAATGCTCCCTCAGATACTCAAACTCGTCACTTCAATGTATCTCCCCTATCTCGTCGCGAATAGCCGTGCGAGCCGCGGTGACGAAGTCAGGGTTGAATTTCGCCTCGACGATGGTCAGACCTTCCTTCATAGAGAGAAGTTTGGTTCTTATCAAAAGAAGTGCTTTGAAGTGAGTTACTCGGGATTTCAGGAGGAAACACTACTTTCCTATGCAGAACTTGAGACGGCAATACAGCGAGTTGAGCGCATCACAGCGCCGAGAAATAAGCAAGCTAGCAGGCTGTCAACTTGACCAGTGGCTCGACGTAAACCAATCCAAACTTTAAATAGCACTTATCTATGTTTGATGACTTTTTCTAATCCGTTGCTTCGTGTTCATTCACAGTTATAGAGCAACTCATCATTCTGCATTTGTATACTTGCACTAATAACAAAATCGATGGAGAAAAATCCCGGTCCACCCAACAACAGCGGCAAAGATACGCGAGCACATGATTCGCCAGAAGGATGGAGCGCTGGCTTTGTGTTTTCGCTAGTGGACGTTCACGAGCTTACCATCCTTAAGTGCATATTCTCACTCCAAGTCCAAGAATGCCGATTGATACTCATCCTACTGATTGCGAGTATTTTGGTGGTCATCACGCCTATGAGGGCGTTCACTACGACAAGATGGATCCTCCCAATACACAGGAAGTTGCCAAGTTGTCTAAGAAGCTACGTGATATAGCGGCTCAGAGTGTTGGTGGTACTCACGCAGATCGCATAGTAGCTGCTGATTTGCTCAGATCAGCTCTGCTCGACTTGGCTGCTACCAAGAAGAATTCCGGTGTAGTGACCATTGACAATTTACTCGGTGAAGACACTTCCCGTACGATTATTATGATGAAGACGGTTAATGAGGACAGCGTTATGAAAGCTCTGACTCAGCTGGTCGAGGAGCTCAACATCCCCAAACCCTCGATGTTTTATACTCCTACTAATCACTCTGCTGTGCATTTCGAGTCCTCTGGTGTTGGTTTTTGCACTGAGTGTTTGAAGAAAAAGGTAGCTATAATGGAGATTCCTTGCGGTAAGGAATACGGAGGTAAAGCTTATATGTGCGAAGAGTGTTATAGTAAACGTGATGATGCTGGTCCTGTTTTCAAGATCGAATACTAGACATTTGATTACTTTTTTATTGTCTTATCACTTTTTTTATCTACTCCTTTCATCGTAGTAGTGAATTCACATGATTTGCAAAGGGTTGTGTTGTTATCGGTTCGAGGCAAACATCTCCACTGTAAACAGCTTAGCACGACTTGGAGCAGTGTTTTAAGGAGAGTAGCAAAGCCATGTGCATAGTGTTACGTCCTCTCGGTCGAGCCATTCACTCCCGGTGAGAAACCCAACACATGCATCTGCGCCTGATGATGATTTTGTCATCAGAAGATGTTATCAACTTGCTAGCAAAGTTCAATCACACTCTGGTGTTACCGGAAGAAAAGGCCCCCGAAGTCTCCCTCATTCCGGAGTCCTTCTGCGCTACCAATATCGATCAACTCGCGTACTTCATGTAAAACCCCACCAATGAACAAGATTCTGCACAACCTTGTGCGGCATGAACCTGTTACAAATCGTACACGGATAGATAAGCTACACCTTTCCAATCTCAAATGCAGCAAGTGAAAGGACAAATTAGATAGCTGAAATTTGATTTTCGACGAGTGGAAGGTGTTTTTCACGAAGTGAAGGTTCAAATTCGAAATGAAAGTTCGATTTTCGTAGACCGGTCGGAAGTGAGAGTTCGGAACGTTGGGTCACATCGGTCCGTCGGTCCGGGACCAATGTAACCCGCCGAAACCCGAACTTTCCGTAGAGGTTTGGTCCGGTTCGGTATTCGGTACATCAAAGTTCGCTTCGGATAGTCCGGTTCGGCGGTTCGGAAACCGAACCGAACACGTGCCGACCCCATTATGCTTCCGATATCATCGGAAGGGTAACGGAGATTCTCCATTGGAGAATCAAACCCGAACAATCTCCCGGTTTGAATCTCTGAAAATCCTCCGTTGCAAATTTGCGAGTTGCACTGTTCAGCATTACAGCGCAGCCCGTAGAGGACCATCCGCACTCGCAATTTACGAGTCGCAAGTCACAATCCGTGGCACGACGCTGACGAGAATTTCATCCCACCGAATGAAAGTGAGCCTTCATTGGTCGAAATTTGTCTTGTGTTCGACGGATTCGAACTTGTGTTTCCGAATTCATAAATTTCATTTACGAATTTGAACTTTCACTTCGTGAAAAACAACTTTGAAAGGTGACCTTTCACTCGTCGAAAATCAAATTTCATTCATCTAAGTTCACGTTACAAACTGTACACGTTACACATCGGAGCATCTCACACTGGATGGCTGTGTCTTCCACATGAGCGAAGCGATGCACCTACACGTATTCCGTGGTATTTTCCTGATCTATTTACTTGACCTTCCCCCTTGTTGCGCTACGACCGATGGATCAACAGATCGCCATTCGCTGGCTGATAGGACTAAACGATCCGTCTCGAAGATATGCTGACGATTCGTCCCCTTCCTCGCGGTGATGCCGGTCTTTCTCGCTACGCTAACTCTTCACTGTCAACGGTGCTGGGCTAAGAACAGTTGCCGTATATACCATATGCTATTTTCAGCAGAAATTGATAAATACATCGAGACTTTTTTGTTACCAAAACAACAACAAAATCAGGTAGAGGAAATGCCTCATTGAAACCCATGAATGAAATCATACACTCAAATTATCCACCAAAATGGCTGCTAGCTTTCAACATGTCACTTCCAACGGGTGTTGAAGAACGATCCCGATCAGACGAGAAGCTGAGACCCTCCGAGTTCTCTTCATAATTCCAAGCTGTGAGTAACACCACCGGACGACGCTCTTCCTTCTAAAGTGAAAGAATACTAACAACCGAACTTCTGTCGACTCACATCAGGGGAATAGTCACAATTTAGTGACGGCACTGGACGAAAAGGATCGCGCCATTCGCGGTACCTTCCAAAACTGGAGTTTCACTCGTGCCATGAAATACATATTTCACAAAACAGCTTCTCACTGAGCATCACGCCACTTCACGTAAAACGGTTGAACTCCACAGATACTAATCCTGTTAGATTCATTATTACACATGATATTCATAGTATGGCTATATCCTTTATTTATTATAAGTAGCACTATTGTTGCTATTTTCATGTTTCAATTGCAATACTGGAGTTTCACCCGTTTAACGTGAAGTGGCGTAATACTCCATGTAAATTTAAGACATATATGTCTTCGCGACCAACAACAGGATTGTTTTCCACCAAGTGAAATATGTTTTTCTACTAGTCTTTTCACAGTTGAAGCTCCATTAATTCTTCAACAACATACCATAATGGTATGCCATATAATGGAGTCCATACGAATGGTATTACCATTCGTATGGACTGAGTTGAGTTGAATGAATGAGGTCATCAGCTGCAGCAATTACGGTATCAGTCAGGAACTTCGGAGACAACCTAAAGAGACAGGCCCTCTGATTCGTATATATTAGTATGATAAATGGTATCCAGTGTTGAAGTGAATGTTCGCTTCCCTCAGCTGAGTTCAGAAATTTTCTCACCGATTATACAAATTCACATACAAATTTGGGTAGATGTGTACAGGAACCAATTTCTCTCAAAATTTCAAAAACGATAAATTTTCCGGTGTAATTCGAAATCCTACTAGAATTGTATACATATTATTATCAACTATGTATCGCTACCAAGCAAGCAAATATCAAAAGCAGTCTCGAATACGCTCGTTCGAACATTACTAAATTTCCCCAAAAAAAATACGTCAAGTTTTTTCTCATTTCACTCGTGAATATTTGGTCACTTTCGAGCTACGACTAAACTAATAGCAACCACATACACGTGAAAACGTTTCATGCACTCAGAACTTACTCCGTAATTTCCATCAACTTCGCTTTGTCACTAACTGTCGGTTGGCCTAAGACCAAGATAGGGCACATCACATACTTTGTATTGACACACCTTCGTTCGGTTCTAAGACGGCTCCTGTAGACTCGGAAGCCTGAAAACACCACCAAACGAATAAATTATCTGAGAGATTTATTCTCATCGAAGGCTTTATCTAAGGCACATGTGCACCTCCGGAACGCATCCCTCGACACTCGCAGTAGTGATGAATGTATGAATAAAATCAAGATACTCTCTCCGTCGTATCTTGCGTACTTATTATCAAATTTGATGGCAATATACTATCACCTTGTCAGAAGAAGTTAAGGATTGGGAATTCTCATGAGTTGGCCGAGAAATGGTCGAGCAGCCGTCAAGCGATGATCCTAAGCCTGAGTCAGCTTCACGCTGCCGCACTTGACGCGCGAGATTGACGACCCTATCTTTCTTATGCCAAGGACTTCCACCGCCAAAGTTTCACTAACCCTAGTGTGTTAATTTCCCAAATTTTTTTGAAATATTTTCTTTTTTTTCAAAGAAAAAATACATCGGGACCATACTTCGACATACAAATAACAGCACTATGAATACAATAACATAGCAGTAAGATAATATGTATAGTGTGTTCGATTTTGATAGTCCGACAGGGAAAAAGTGTATATATCTTCGAATTCGCATAATTTCACGATCAAACTCCCGCACAGTGGGTAACTATGCGAGTCCTACAGTATTCTCCCGAGGGCCACACCTTTCAAGGTCCTCCACCCTCTGGTGAATGCATCAAAAGAATTGTATCAAATAACAATATGCAGCGAAAAGTTTTTATCAGGCATTCCTCACCCCATATGTGCTCTTCTCCTGTAGTAAATCCAATAACCATTGCCGACACAGAGCCGATCGATGGCCACCATCACTAGCGTCAAGGCGACACACAAAGCCACGACTAGAAGATTCGGCCGCAGTCTTCGGATGCTCTAACAAGAAAAATAACGTGCATCGAGCAATGATGTTACTTGTAAACTATACACCTTTTTTATTACGCCCGATTACTAGAAAAGTACAACTACAGTGTAAAACGTTTATTATCATCAGTTTCCAACACATGGCGTGAGTTTTGGAGTCTAGCAACATCTCTGGTGGCATCCACCTACCTTTCGGTGCTCCTCGAGTACTCGAAGAACGTTCATATTCGTATGGAGTAACACTCAGATTTTGGAAGATCATCCCACACTGCGATGCCTGGGAACAAGTGCTTCGCTTTGAATGACGATTCTGACTACTGCTATAACAATGGAGTTTCACCCGTAATATGGGAAACCCCAAAATTCCCAGTTCACTCGAGGAGTGAATAACGCGTAAAACACGTGGTATGTGTTTTTTCATGTGATACGGGGTGATTCGCCAAGTGTTTTCAATTCGCCACTTCATATCGCGTTTTTCACATGGAGTATTACACCACTTCACGTAGTGAAGCGGGGGGAGTCCAATCTGCATTATATTCGGAATCACAAGTGCAGATTAATAATTTAGTGTGTAAACAGTTGAATTGATTATAGACATTGGAGTTTCACAACCCATTTCACGTCAAGTGGCGTAATACTCTGTGAAAAACGCGATACTCGCGCTTCGTAAAATATATTTTTCACTAGTGTTTTTCATATCACGGCTCAAGAAACTCCATTAAATCCAAAATACTCTAAAAATTCAATTAATAAATTTAAATATTGGAGTTTCAACCTAGTGACGTGAAAAACGTATTCCACGACTACTGCATAGCACCGCGAATATCGCGTTTTTCACCGAGTATTACACCATTTCACGTAAAACGGGTAGTTAAATAATAATCAATCGATTCTCACCTTAGACTGTAGATCATGTACCAGATCGCCGTTTCTCTTCCTCCTATTTCCTCTCCCCCTCGTCCTAACTCGTCTCTTATTCCTTCTCGAGGCTCTACTGCTACTTGACACTGTTGTAGGCTCTATCGACTGTTTTTTCGTCATGTCATTTTCAGTGCTGCTTTTTTCACAAGTTGTATTAATTTCTCGATCATGCAGGTCCCCCACAGCTTCGGTAATATAATCTCTGTCGCCGAAAATTGCCAGTAACTAAAGTTAACTTAGTTTCACCCGTGATGAGAAAAACACTAGTGAAAAACATATTCCGCGACTACTGCATATCACCGAGAATAATATCGGGCTTTTTGCAGAGTAATACGTCACTTCGCGTAAAACGGGTTGTGAATTTCCAGCGTAGTAACCAAGCAAAACTACGATCTATGAAAACTGCAGAGAATAAGTGGTCAATCTGAAAAACTGTTAACCGCATTAGAAAAATTACTGTCAAGGAGAAAATTTCAAAATTTCACTACAAAAAATATTTGAATGCGATATCGAGGAAATTATTTCCGCAAAAAAACCATTACAATGGAGTTTCACCCTAGTGATATGAAAAAACACTAGTGAAAAAATATCTCACGACTACTACATAGGGCGAGTATCGCGTTTTCACGGAGTTTTACGCCACTTCACGTGAAAAAGGTTGTGAAACTCCATTAAATTTCGGAAAATTATGGTATTAAAATAAATAAATTAATTCACATTTCAACTCACCGAACCAACTAGCATTAATGCAGCCTCCCGAACTTTCCCATGACTCGATTCGGTACTCCGGCAAATGGCATCAGCTAAACCAGGCAATCGCGTAAACTCCGTTATCTAACACATTGAAGAGTTTCACACGTTTTACGTGAAGTGGCGTCGTAATACTCCATGTGAAAAACGCGATATGAAGTGGCGAATTGAAAACACTTGGCGAATTACCCCATATCACGTGAAAAACACATACCGCGTGTTTTACGCGTTATTCATTTTCGAAACGAAATGTGAAAAGGATATCGCGGATGAAACTCCAATACCTCACTGCCTTGCAATAAAATCGATTACTTGGGCGTGCGCTTTTTGCAACCGCAGCCCCGACCGTTTCCT